GGCAAAGACTTAGCGATAGCAGAACGGTGACTGGACACTAACATGGTGGTGGGGTGATTTCAAGCTTACACGATGATGACTTGGCTCATACATGGGGTGGGGTGGATGGAGTGGGAGGTGGGTGGGTGGGCGTGGTGCGTAGCTTACAAGGCAACCACTTGGTCCTGGTCGTTGCAGGTGAGGATATCCGGGGAGTCCTGGCATGTGATGGATGCTAGGTCCTCGTTGCCCCACTCCGATGCCAACGCCCCCAGCACCTCGCCTGCACCCATGTGGGGTGGGGTGGCATGGCACGGCACAGCATGGCGTGGCAATTGGCATGGCATGGCAGAACATGGCACGGCATGGCGTGACATGGCACAGCATGGCATAACATGGCTCGGCATGGCATAACATGGCACGGCATGGCATGGCACGGCATGGCACGGCACAGCAACATAGAGCACATCACATCACACGAGGGTAGAGCAGAGCAGAGCACAGCACAGCACAGCACAGCACAGCACAGCACAGCACAGCACAGCACAGCACAGCACAGCACAGCACAGCACAGCACAGCACAGCGCAGCACCACAAGCACGGCACGGCACAGCACAGCACCGCACGCATAGCACATCACTATCATAGCACCGCACCTAACGGGTTGTTAGTTTGCCCCGAAACGCAGAGAGTGCCAGCTACGATGGCAGCGAGTAGAATCGCGGCAACGAGCTCACTGCGAGGCAACCATGCCATTGTGACTGAATGTCGACACCCCAAGACCACGAGCGGAGCGGAACGGAGAGGAGGGGAGAGGAGGGGAGAGAGGGGGCGTCGGCACGTCCCGCCAACGCGCGGGTGTCCGCTCGCGCGGCCAGTGGAGTCGAGTGTTCACGGCTCGAGCGAATGCACTGGCCCTCGCCCCGTAAATGCACGCTCGGAGGCTTCAGACCCGAGGAATGGTTGCCCCAACCGCAATTCCCGGCACTGGACGGACTTGAAACGCGGGCCAAAGGCCAAAGGCCCCAGTTTCTCGAGAGTTAAAGCGAGGCGCAGCTTTTATAATCTTTAATTGCTTGTGCGCGCCGTGTTGACCTGAAGGGACGGCCGTAACGGACACTAAATTAGGACACGTCGTCGCGGCGACTCGGGCTGACGAGTGACATTGCCGCTTGAGGACACTGGAGCGGTTACCGTATGAGGTGGTTACTCTCCCACTTCTCGCTCCACCTTCCCATCTGGTAATATCCCACCCCAATTACTGGTATTTGCAGCAATGGCAACCTAAAAGGTTGTGAGAATTAAGTGCGGGGAATATACGTGCCAACCACTCATTGTGCGTATTCCCCCACCCAAACTTCAGCACATGACATGACAACGTGAAGAATGTGGTATGTATGGGGGTCGGCTCGGCACTTCCCCACAGGCAAAGAGGCGCTGTCTAGTAGGGTCACGGCATAGGGTATTCGTGAGTGAATCCGTTATAGAGCAAATGGCCCGAACATTATGTGTAAAATCAAGGCCCATTTTGGAAAGCTTTGGTATAATGTTTTCCTTTTTCAAGTCACATACGTACTGTAAGGATATGCCAGTAAATGAAAAGGCCGCAAGCACAAAAGCGAGATGAAATGCAGATAGGCTTCCATACGGGAGTGGGTGCGAGACCCATAAGAAAATAACGTGTGACGCTGCTTTGTACCCATCAAGGCTTTTCAATAGCACTGCATAACAGCAAAATTATTGTTTATAAGGGCATACGTTTAGATTGGCTTAATGCGGAGGGGAAATTAGTGCAGTCGGCAAGACACTAAAAGAATGCAAAGAACGAAGGGGATTTTGGCTACTTATATATACGTTGGGAATAGTTTAGTTAAACATAGAGTAACACCTACAAGTCTACAAAAAGTGTCTTTTCTGAGTTGAGCACCACCGTTTATCGCATCCCATCTCCCTACACATTTGGAAAGCTTATGGACCAAATCAGTTCTCGAGACTCGTCCCACCCATCTGGTCGCTACATCTACATTGGCTGGGAGACTAGCCCTCCCGCCTTTCTGATGTGTTCCTGCGTCATCGGCAATAAAGTGTTTCTTAGGAGTCGGAATTGTCAAGGTTCCGATTCCCGCATACTAGTTCCGGTTGACCTGCGCGGAGAATCACTTAGCGCAAATGCGGACGGCCTCTGCGCGGCGCCGATACCCAGCCCCCCGTTCTGACCAGCGGCTGGTCGAGTGAAGGCCGATCGATCAATGATTCCTCAACGATTTTGCACCCGTTCGGATTACATCTTGTGATCCTAGTCGCTTTCTCGCGAAACTTGTCTTATAACGAAGTATAACCGAGCATCCTATTTTCCACTGGTCGTATCTTAACGACCACAGTTGGTCGTATCTTACTGGGTTCGTTCTTTGTATCGGGTCGTCACATTGGTCCCGATTTCTTCCCGCACGCACCCTTGTCCGCTCATCAAGCTCGATCTTCCGCGATCCATTACCTTTCCCCTCATCGTCACTCCCCTTCCAGCTAACACCCTCTGCACCGCTTATCCTGCCCGATTTCCCTTCCCTCTGACGCTGACCTACTCGGCGAATCGGCCGCCCAGTCGCAACCTCCTATAGAAGCTTCTGCACCCTGCCTTCTAACCGCTAGATTCGCTCACGGGCAGCCTCGTTCCATGGCGTCGTTGCGCTCATGGGGCGCGGGCGCAGCAGCAGCAGCAGGAGCAGGAGCAGGAGCAGCATCCCCGACTCAAGACGGCGGCGGGTTCTCCTCTCCGCTCGGCGCCCGCGCCAAGCCACCCTCGCCCGCGACAGATTTCAACTTCCACACCCCCTCGCCCTCGCACCACCGCGCACCTCCCCCCGGCGGGCTCTCAAACCAACAGCAGCAGCAGAATGGATATCCCCCCAGCACTCCGCAGACTTCCCCGCTTCCGCCTCCGCCGTCTGCCTCCATGCCTGGACTCTCCTCCCCGTTCCCCGCCTCCGCCGCCGCCGCGAGCGCATTGGCTTCCGCAGTAAGCGGCGTTTCCGCCAGCCCGTGGGGAAGCATGGTGGTGGGCGCGAACGGGCAGCCGCAGCGGTGGCTGGACGCAGCTGGAGTCCTGACCGATGTGGAGGAAGCCGGGAGGTTCTTATCGGATCTGCTCGCTGATGACGTGGCAGCATCCGCACCAGGACACGTGGCAGCGTCAGGGCATATAGCGGCGGGCGCGGGGGCGGGGGCTGGGTCAGGGGGCGGGGCTTTGGGTTTACCGGACCTGCAGGAGGATCTCGAGGCCGGGCGGCTGTCTGCCTTCCAGCCGTATTCGAGCCCGCCGTTGGAGGTACGCTGCTGAGGGGCATTGAGAGGCCGGGGGGGGGGGGGGGGGGGGGGGGGGGGGGGGGGATATTGATCCAACTGCCGAATGTGAGCGAAACAGGTACACATTTCCAAACCAAGCATCCCTTCTCTTTGTAACACTTTTCCTCGCTTTCCCCCCTCCCTCCCTTCCACCACACCCCTCTCCTTCCCTTGGTCACCCACTCCCCTCCCCTCAACCCCACCCCCTCATCCTCCCCGCCCCCCCCACAACCGTCCGTCCCTCCCGCGCGCCTCCCTGCGGGGAGACCTCTCTCTCTCTGGCAACAGTGGCCGGCGGCAGTGGAGCAGGTGGGGTTCGAGGAGCTACCCGCGGAGCTGATCGCGCGCTACAATGCGGCGGGCGGCCAGGGCTCCGCGCTCTGCGGTCTCTTCCCCGCCGCGCGGCTGGCCTGGGCCACCGTCAACAACACGCTCTTCCTCTGGCGCCTGGGGAACAGGTGCGCGCGCGGGTGGGCGGAAGGGAGAGGGATGGGGGAGGGGGAGGGATGGGAGGGGGGTGGGGGGGAGGTGAGGCAGGGGAGAAGGGGGGTTGAAGAGAGAGGGAGAGGGTGGATGGGCGTACTGTCCTGCGCTCCTGTTTGAGTGATAGGAATGCTGCTAGCGTTGATGTACATGCACTCGCTACCATTTCCACAAAGGCCGTCCATTCGTTAATATTTCCCCGTGCGGCACTCCCTGCGTGCACGCACACACGTGTTTGGAGCAGGGGCGGGAAGTGTGTGCAGTTCACGTGGGAGCAGCACGCCATCTGCGCGGTGGGGCTGGTGAAGCCACGGCCGTCCGTGTTCATCCACGCCATCCAGCACCTCCTCGTGCTCGCCACGCCCTTCGAGGTCAGTGCCACTGTCACTGTCACACAAACGGAAAGCGACAATTAGGAATTGGGGATTGGGGATGGCTCATTGCATAGCATGGCGTGTGATGGCATGGCATGACATGGCATGGGTGGGTGGCACTCCAGGAGCCTTGGCATCACCCATCATTCTCATCCTGCTTCTGCTTCCATCTCATCGTTCCTCCTTCTCCCCAAAACCGCGTCCTCTTATCCTTCCTTCCTTCAGATTCTTCTGCTCGGCCTCTGCTCCCGAGGAAGCCCCTCGATCCTGTCCCGTGGGCCCACGTCAACAGCAGCAGCGCCATCCCCTGGCCTGCAAGACACATCCTTCTTCAGCACGCCTCCTCCTCCCACCTCCTCCTTATCAGCAGCAGGAGCCGCAGCAGGAGCGGAGGGAGAAGCAGGGGCAGGCACAGGCGCAGGCGCACAGGGGCAGGGGCAGGGACAGGCGCCGTTAGACGAGATAGTGCTGCAACCGCTGCCTGATTACGTGGTGAGCAGCGACAACGTGGCCATGACGTGCGTGGCAGGCACGCCGTGTGGGAGGATCTTCCTGGGCGGCCAGGACGGCCATGTGTACGAGCTGGTGTATAGCTCAGGGTCGGGGTGGCAGCGCCGCTGCCGCAAGCTGTGCCTCACCAACTCGCTCACGTCCATGATCTCCAAGTGAGTTGCAATTGCCACCTGCGCGCGTGCTTGCTTGATGCGGTGGTTAATGGTTATATCAGGTTACATGTATTAACAAGGTTCAGGAAGAATTCTTGTGTATGGATTAGTAGGCTGCTTCTCTTTACGGCAACCGAAACGGTTGGCTAATTAAACACTCTCCACCTCCATTCCCGCCTCAACTCCCCTCCCTCTCCTCCCCCTTGCCCTCCCCTCACCCGTCCGCGTCCCTTCCCTTCCCGCTCTCTCCTCCCTCCCTTCCCTCTTCCCCACCCCCCTGTCCCATCGTCCACGCCCACTCCACACCCCAGGCTGGTTGTTCCCTCAGTGTTCCGCTTCTCATCAGCCAGTCCAGTGGCAGAGCTACAGGTGGACGCAGACCCTCCTCACCCGCTCTCTCCCCCCTCTCCTCCTTCCCTCTCTTACCCTGCACGCACACCCCGTCCGCCCCAGGCTGGTTGTTCCCTCAGTGTTCCGTTTCTCATCAGCCAGTCCAGTGGCAGAGCTACAGGTGGACGCAGACCGGGCCATTCTGTACGCGCGCACACTCGACTCACGCCTGCTCGCCTTTGACCTCGGTGCGGACGGCCAGCAGCCCGCACGCAAGGTGGCCGAGACCTCCCACGTGGGCTCCCTGCGCGAGTATTACCGCGAAGCTGGCGCTGCTGGTGCTACCGGTGGGTTCGGAGGAGGGGGGTTTTTTGGTGGTGGTGGGCATGGGGTGGGTGGAGGAGGAGGAGGAGGAGCAGGAGGAGGAGGAGGGAGAGGGGGGGGAGGGGGTCGAGTGGTGCCTACTAAGGCGTCTGTTGTGTCGCTCGCTCCCACATCTGTAGCCGAGTCTCGCTCCATTCACCTTGTAGCCGTTCTATCCGACGGCCGCCGTGTGTTCCTCTCAACGTCCCACACGCCCTCGCACTACCACCTCCCCCGCGCTCTCCCCCACCTGATCCACTCCACTCCTTCCTCCTCCTCCTCTGCCGCGTCTCACCACACCCACAAGCATCCGAGGCCTTCCCAGCTCAAAGTTGTTTCTGCCCGGGCTGCCCCTCCGCGAGGTCTCCCCATCTCTGCTGCCGGATCACCCGCCGCGGCAGCAGCAGCAGCCGCAGCAGCAGCAGCAGCAGCAAGCGTGGCAGGGTACGGGTCTCCCCCAGGCGCTGCTGGCTTTCCAGGGGCTCCTGGGTGGGGTGCAGCAGGGAGAGGCACGGGACTGGGAGGGTTCTACGATGCGACAGGATCAGGCCGATATGGTGGGGGGTTTTCAGGGTCTGGAGGAGGAGGGCTGGCAGGGATGGGCGCGGCAGTGGGCTTGGGAGGGCTGGGCGGCTTTGGAGGGCTGACGTTTGGTGCGGAGCAGGCGCTCATGCTGCGGGTGGAGGCTGCCGTGTGTCACGCCGGCCAGCTCTCCCTCTCTGATGCGTCCCCGCCCCTGGGATCCATGGCTGCTGCTGCTGTGGCGCCTCCCACTGCCTCGCAGCTTGTTATATGCCTGCGGGATCTCACCATTCCTCCCTGGTCCCCTGGATTGTATGCTGCTGCTGTGCCTGGCGGTGGTGGGTTTGGCTCCTCTCCCACCCATCACCAGCAGTACCAGCACCAACAGTACCAGCAACAGCATCCGCATCAGCAGCATCACCACCACCATCATCATCAGCAGCAGCAGCAACAGCAGTTTGGATCGCCTGCACCAGCCGCTGCTCCGTCATCCCCCTTCTCCTTCTTCTCGCCCTCCTCCCAACAGCAGCAGCAGCAGCAGCAGCAGAGGGGCTTCGGGTTTAGCACGCCTGGAGCAGCACCAGGAGTCCCAGGCTCAGCCGCCAGCCCTTTAGCACCCCACGCAGCACCACCAATGGGACAACCAGCAGGCGCAGGGGGCGCAGGGGGCGCAGGTGGTGCATACGCATCACAATCAGCTCATCCCCCTCGTGGTCTCCGTGAAACAGTGTCCATCGTGCCCCTGGAAGGCCGTGTGCTTGCAATGGCGGAGCTCCTCCCGCCTCTCCTCCTCACTGCCGCCTTTGACGTCGCCTCAGCTCCTGTCCTGGGCGCTCTTCCCTCTGCTGCTCTCATTGCTTCCTTCCCCGGTGCCCTCACCGCCTCTGCTGCTGCTGCTGCCAACGGCTTTTTGCCTCCTGATTCCCCGTTTTCGGGGGCAGCAGGGGCGGGAGCGGGCGCAGGAGGAGAAGGAGAGGGAGGGACGTTGGGCTGGTTGCTCTCCGGATCGCCAGAGAGAGCGCAAGGAGGGGGAGGGGGAGGGGGAGGGGGCGGAGGGTGGGGAGGGTGGTTTGGAACGCCTGGGAAGGGAGGAGCAGGAAAAGGGGGGGCTGCAGGGGACGGAAGCAGCATGGGGGGCTTTCGGCTGAAGGAAGGAGGGGGGGAGGAGGAGCAGTTGGCACGGGCGCGGCGGCTGTGGGCGCGGGGAATCTTAGCTACTCAGCACATGCTACCCCGGCGGTCAATTGTAGTGCTGACAACGGTTGGGCTGGTGAATTTCGCAGTGAACCGCCCTGTGGATGTGCTCCGGCGCCTGCTGGAGCGGAACGCGCCGCGAGCAGCGGTGGAGAGCTTTTTCGTGCGGTACGGCAGCGCGGAGGCTGCGGCCATGTGCCTGCTGCTAGCGGCGGGGATCAGCCCGTGGAAGGAAGGCGCAGTGGCAGGGGATGGGGAGGAGAACGCTGGGAGAGACATGATGGATGGGGAGGATGGTGGCAGTGGTGCTGGTCGGTGGGGTACCGGAGTAGGGGGAGGAGGAGCAGGAGGAGGGGAGAGGCGGCGTGGCAGGGTGGCAGGCGGGTGGGATGGGGGAATAGGAGGTGGTGACGGGAGGGGGAGAGCGGGGGTCGGTGGAATGGGGGGCGGGGGAGCAGGGGTGGGAGGGGGAGTGTCAGGGAGTGCGTCAGCTGTGTCTGTGCTGGTGGCAGAGCGAGCAGCTCAGCTGCTGGATGACCCTCGCTTTGTGGGCCTACCTTCTCTTCAATCCGTTCCCTCCCTTCCCTATGGCGCTCCTCCACCCGCTCCTCCTCCTCCTCCTGCCACTGCTGTCGCTCCGGGTGTTGCTCCCGGGCCTGCAGCAGGAGTTCCTGGCGCTGCAGGTTCAGCAGGAGGGGCGTATGGAGCAGCAGCAGGGCCAGCAGGAGCGGGGGCTTGGGCGCGGCCCTATGCTCCGTCCACACCCGCTGGCCCCAGCACCCCTGCTGCTGCTGCTGCTGCTGCTGGGCTGGCTTCGCAGGGAGGATGGGCATGGGAGCACGGTGGGGCAACGCAGCAGCAGCAGCAGCAGGAGCAGGAGTTGGAGTGGGAGCAGGAGGGGCAGAAGTTCAGGTGGTGTATTCCGGCGCGTTCCAAGGGCTGTCCTTATGCGTGGCGAGGCTGCTGGGGCCTATATGGGACCTGCCTGTCCTCTCCTCTCCCTCTGGCGCTACTGCCAGTGCCATTGCTGCTGCGGCTGCTGGTGGTCACGCAGCAGGCGGTGCTGCTGCAGGGGCGTCTGGTGGTGGTGGTGCCAGTGGTGCTGCATCTGCCGGCGTCTACTGCAGGTCTGTCCTTCACACTCTTTTTAGCCCTTTTCTTGCCACTGCTGCTGCTCTCCTCAATCTGACCTACCTCGCCATCTCAGCCTCCATCTTGCCATCTTATTTCACACAACTCCCCTTTCTCACTCCCCCTCTCCCTCAACCCCCGCCCAACCCCTCCTCGGCCCCCAAAACCCACTACCCTCTCCCTGAATTTCCCCTCTACCGATTTCCCCCACGCCCCTGTCAACCACCCACCCCTTCTACCCCCCCCTCCCCCAGCCTACCATCGGAGGTGCTACAGCTGTACGAGGCCAAGACGCGTCTGCTGGAGGCCTTTCTGCGCTCGCGCAGGGACCACCGCCGCGGCCTCTACGCGCGTGTGCTAGGCGCTGGCCTCCTCCCCGCCCTCCCCTCCTCCTCCTCCGCGCCCTCCGCTGCTGCTGCCGGCGCAACGGGAGCAGTAGGGGCACAGGCGGGAGGGGGAGTGGCGTGGCATGGGACTGGGGAGCAGGAGAGAGGGCGTGCGGGCAGGGAGAGAGGAATGGCGGTTGGAGGAGTAAGGGGAGGGGAAGCAGGAGGGGCAGGGGCAGGAATGGGTGGGTACCCAGAGGTGGGATCTGGGGGAGGGTGGATGTCTGAAGCAATGGACGCGGAGGGGGCGTTTTCCAAGAGGCAGAGGCTGGCTCCCACTGCCGCCCAGCTCGCCGCCCACGAGGTGAGTGAGTGGCTGGCATGGTTTGTCCTGTAGCTGGGAATGGGAATTGGGATTGGGTGAGGAGGAAAAAGAGATGGGGTACATGGTGACATACAAGCACATTGTCACAACATTTCCCTTCACACCACTTTCCTTTGCCTTTTTTCTCTCTTTCTCTCGGCCCCTTCCCCGCTCGCCCCCTCCCCTGCGCCCTCCCCTGCGCCCTCCCCTGCCCCTTGCCCTCCCGTCTTCGACCCCAGGTGCGCGCCACAGAGGGTCTGCGGCGGCTGCTGCGGCGCACGGCGGAGGCGCTGAGGCTGCTGCACGTGCTGTCGCAGCACCACGTGATGCGCCTTGTGCAGTCGCTGCACCCCTCGTGGCACGCGCTGCTCGCGTCCCTCACCCTGCACCAGCTCGTCTGCTCGCCTGCTGGCGACTCTGCTGCCTCCCAGCTCATCGCCGCTCTTCTGCAGGTGCTGCTGGGGGGAGAGGGAGGAGGGTTAGAAACAGCAACGGTTAGAAAGTCGGGTGCTGGACAATTGCTGGTCGAGACAGCAACGGTTAGAAAGTCGGGTGCTGTTAGGTCTGGCAGGCTGAAAACTCTCTCTCCTCTCGTTTCCCCATCTCCGCTTGCTCGGCTCCCAAAACCAACCCTCCGCCTCGCCTTCTCTCCACCTACTTCTAAACACCCCCCCACCCCCACCCCCCCCCCTTCCCCCCCCTCTTCAACCCACACGCAGTACTACACTACCCCGAGTGCTCGCGGGTCCATGGAGGACATGTGTGCGCGGCTGCGCACGGACTGCCCGTCCTTCTTCTCGGACGCGGACCAGACCTTCTTTGCTGCAGTTCAATGCCTTGAGTCCGCACGCCAGGCCGCTGCTGCCGGTGATGCCGCCACGCGCACGCGCCTGGCCAGGGAGGCCATGGCGCTGCTCGCGCGCGTTCCCGAGACCGCTGACCTGCTGTCAGTGTGCCAGCGCTTTGAAGACATCGGGTGAGTGGTGGTGCGGGCTGAGCTCTGGGTTGGGAGGTTTTAGAGGGTGGGGAGGGGGAAGGGGATAAGGGGATGGCTTCACGTGAAGCTTGAGAATTTTGTGAGGGTTGAGGGAGAGAATTCTTGCCAGAGACGACCGTGAAGGGATCTCATTGCCCGAAAATCTTCTGTCTTGGCTCGCAACACCATCTTCCTCTCTCCCACCTCTTGTTGGCCCACTTTCCTCCCCCCTCCTGCGTCCCCGTCCCCTCTGTGTGCGCGCACACCAGGTTCTACCAAGCGGTGGTGGATCTGCCTCTGCGCAAGGCACGGGCGCTGGACCCCAACAACGACGCCACCAATGCCCGACTCGACCCTGCTGTGCGAGCAGCTGCCATGCAGGCACGTTACCGCCTCTCCTCCTCCGCCTTTTGTTTGTTTGTTTGATTGTTTGTTCGTTTGTGCGTTTCTGTGTTCGTTTGATTGCTGATTGCTAGTGCACTGCCACCTCTCATGCTCCCATGGCTCTTTGCTCGTGTCCCTCCATCCGATCATCTTTCGCCACTGTCATTTAAGGTCCATTGCATTCACCAGATGCATCATCCAACTTCCTCTGTGCGCGGCTCTGAGGTGTTCCCTCTAAAGTGCATCATCCCACCCATGCGCACGGTTCCACCCATGGGCAGGCGCGGCAGCAATGCTACGACGTGGTGGTGGCAGCAGTGCGCACGCTCAGTGGCCAGACTACTGGCGCCGGCGTGGCAGCCCGCCCTCAGTTTGGCGTGCCACGGTATGAGCGAGGGGAGGAGAAGAGAGGATGGGTTGGGCTGAGGTTAAGTGGAAGGAAGGGAGGAAAGGCGGTATGAGGGCTCGAGAGATTGGAGGAGATATAGTGAGGAGGAAGAAGGGGGTTAGGAGAGAAGAGAGGTGAGCAGGGAGGAAGGAAAGGGAGGGAAGGATTGTGTGGACGCTTCTAAAATAGAGTTTCTTTCTGCTCAATCTATGCTCCTCTCTGAATTCCCTGCCGCTTCCTCCATCCATCAGCCCGCTGGGAGCGGCGGCGCTGACGGAGGAGGAGAGGGAGCAGCAGCTGGTGGCGGTGGTGCGGCAGGCAGTGGCGTGGGACGATGCGCTCTTCCACCGCCGCCTCTACGCCGCACTCATATCGCTGGGGCTCGACTCGCTGCTCATCTCCCTCTCCGCTCCTGACGTGGAGGACTTCCTCAGGACGGCTGGCTCTGACGTGGAGCCCCCTGACGAGCAGGTGGGTGGTGCCGTAGTTTTAAAATCTCAAATCTCTACGCCGCACTCATATCGCTGGGGCTCGACTCGCTGCTCATCTCCCTCTACGCTCCTGACGTGGAGGACTTTCTCAGGACGGCTGGGCTGGGAGCGACGTGCGGCTAGTCCCCTGATGAGCAGGTGGGTGCTGGTGACGAAATCTTGAGCCATCTTCCCTTCCACCTCCCCATCTGAAACAAGCCCAATCTCCATTCCCGCCTGCGTCACACCTTCACCCTCCTCTGCGCCCGTCCCCGTCCCCTCTCCCCGCTCCTCTTTCCTCCATCCCAGCTGCATGTGCGGTACCTGTCGGTGCTGGCGAGGTACTACATAGAGCGGCGGCAGCTTTTTTTAGGCGCCTTAAAATTCCCTTTTTCCAACCCCTCTCCCCTCCTCCCCACCTTCCTCCATCAGCTGCATGTGCGGTACCTGTCGGTGCTAGCGCGGTACTACATAGAGCGGCGGCAGCATGAGCTGGCAGCGCATGTGCTGCTGCGCCTTGCAGAGCGCCAGCAGGTGGACGGCGCGCAGCCTGGCCACCCAGGCTTCCTTTCCCTTGAGGAACGGTCAGTGCGATGTGCATCTGTGCAAGCATGGATGCTGCGTGTATGAATCTGTTTCTTGAGAATTCTCAGAAAAAAAAAAAAAAAAAAAACAGATTTAGCATGTCTGCTGCCTGCATGTGTGCATTTCTGCATCCATCCATGTCATCGCTCCTCATTCCCCCCTTGCCTCATCCATAACATCCTCCCTGCCTCCCCTGTTCCTCCCCTTACCATCCATCAGATGCAACCTCCTGAGTGCAGCAGTGCTGCAAGCAGCAGCCATCAGCAGCAGCGGGGCCACGGGAGCAGCAGGAGGGGGTGCAGGCGCAAGGGGCATGGGGGGGCGTGCAGCAGCAGGGGGCGGAGGCGAGAAGGAGGTGGCACGGCTGCAGACTGTACTCAAGGACAAGCTGGCAGTGCTGCAGTTCCAGATCCGCATTCGCGACCACCTGCTCGCTGTCGCCACTAGGTATGAGGGGGGGGGGGAGAGATTGAGAGGCATGGAGCCAAATACAGGGTGAAACAGAGTGAGAGAGGAACCATTGCTGTTCAGCAATGCGGCTCAAGTTGTTGGCACGCTTCATTCACCAACATTCATCTTGCTTGCAGGTTTGACGGCCAACCTTCACCACAGCACGATGCAGCAGCATCAGCAGCCGCAGCTACAGCAGGGGGTGCGGGTGCGATGGAAGAAGGGGGAGAAGGGGCAGCAGGTGCAGGCGGAGGAAATGGGGCGGGGGAGATGGAGGTGAGGCGGCGAGCGGAGGTGGCAGCTGCGGAGCTGCAGAGGGAAGTGCGGAGCATAACGGACCTGTACAACGACTATGCCGTGCCGTTCCAGCTCTGGGAGGTGCGTGCCTTGGAAAACCACCACCATGGCACCATCTCTCATGCTTGCTTGCCTTGCATGCACCCGTTCATGCAGTGTGCCTCTAGAAGAACCCACTCATCATGCTCGGTTGTTGCAACCCCCTCCTGCCCTCCACAGGTCTGCCTGGAGATTCTCCGCTTCTCCAGCTATGCAAGCGACGGCAGCAACGGCGTGGAGCGGGCCATGTGGCGCAATCTCATTGAGCAGGGTCTGCAGCAGGGTGGCATTGCAGAGGCGTGCGAGCGGGTGCAGAGGGTTGGCTCCTCGCTCTCCATGCGCGGTGGTGCTGGTGGCGCTGCTGCTGCTGGTGCCGGTGGCGGTGGCGGTGGTTCTGGGGGCAGTGGGGGCAGTCTGCCTCTCGAGTTTCTCTGCCTGCTGCTGGAGCAAGCAGCTCAGGTGCGGATTAGACAAGGGGGTCGTGGCAAGGGGGAGCAAGGGAAGGGAAGGAAAGGAGAGGAGAGGAGAGGAGAGGAGGGATGTGAGGGCAGCGCACAAGCCTTCCTGCTTTCTTCCTTATAATCTATTCCTTTCATCGTGCTCACCGCTCCTCCCACAACTCTTCTCTCTTCGCCCTTGCTCACCTGGGTCAACCCCTCGTGTCACAATCAGGACCTGGAGGCGAGAGGCGAGTCCTCCCACGACGAGATCCCCCGCGCTCTCATCTCCGCCTGCGGCGGCGCATATGAGCCCGTGGCAGCAGCATACTCACAGCTTCTTTCGCGCGCTGCCGGCCCACTCTGCCAGCCATCCCTCCGCCTGCGCCTGCTGCTCTCCGTCCTCGCTGTTCTCAAGCAGTGGGCTGCTGCACTTGTCGATGCGGATGGGGGCCTGGGTGGGGATGGAGGCGCGCGGGGGAAAGTGGAAGGCGTGGACGGGAGTGAGTTCATGGCTATGGATGGGCCGCGCATGGGCGATGGGATGAGCGCACGCGCCTCCAGAGCTGTGCTTGTCAGCGCTTGCAGCCGGTACGACGACTCACGCTCCCGGGATTGGCTACCTCTACTCTTCCTCCTCCCTCTCTGTTCATTTTCTCCCTCTCTCTTCTCCACACCTTGCCATCTCCATCTCTCCTATCCCCTCCCCCTATCACTCCCACCCTGTTTCCTGCTCATGTTCTGCCTACCTACCTGTGTGTGCGTGTGCGTGCGTGCCCACTGCCCATCCCAGGTACATGGGGGAGGTGCGGCGGCTACCACTGCCCCAGGACACAGCAGAGCAGCTTATAGCAGAGTTGCGCCAGGTGGAGGCAGCCGTGCAGCGCCCCCTGCCCTTCTTCGGCTGATTCTGCATCACCACCATCACCCTCTTGTCGTGGCCTGCTCTTAATTTTGATCAGCTTGTTACTCAACTGATGCTTGGCTTTGCCTGCTGCTGCTCTGTCTTGATTTGAGTCTTGACTTGCTTGTTTTGCAGCGTGGCTGCACGCAAGCCGCTGTGCTGTGCAAGCACGACGGTGGTTTTACCTTACAGCTCTGATTGGTGCTACTGTTTGTTGTGAAGCGTTGCGCTGGCCTTACTGGCGTTCAAAACAGTTGCTTGCTTGTAGTATTTGGTGCCTCTATTACTGTGACATGCAGTACGTTTGTCTCTGCTCCAATTCCTCCCAAACTGTTTGGGTAGTACTCGGATTTATACAGTCCTTTGGAAACAATTACCATATCTCCAGCTGCACACCACCATCACCATATCTTGGAAATATGCAGTTTTATTATAGATATTGAGAGATGGTGTCACTAGCATAGTAGAGGGGTGCATTGTCAACAGGATAACAACTGCTCATAAATAGTAGTAGAACATCCATCCCATCCCACCTACACATGCACTGGGTCCAGCCAGACAGCCAGTAGTGACGATGACCCGAACACCTACTGCTACCTCCTGCACCTGTACTGTCTGCAGCATCAAGTCACCTGCAGTTTGCTGCTCTAAATATTTAGTAACAATAACTAGGGTGCTGGCTTGGCAGTAAGCAACTTCAGCTGCTCAGTAGCCAAGCCACCAGTGAGCACCACCATGCCACCGAGGGCACTTTCAGCCCACAAGCTGCATTTGTACCTACTCACAATGGCCCATCATACCACCATTCCAACCCATACCATCCCACCCTATCCCACCGCATCGCACTACTGCACGGTAGTATGACCTCCTTCACCAAGCGAAGCAAGAACACACTCCAATTTGCCAGTGCCTCCCTCACCCAGCAGCATGCGAGACATTCGCCGTCAGCGGCTCCTCATCATGTGTGCTGCCACTAACCGGCACAATCCCACTCCCTTCCCGCATCGTGCTCCCCGGCCCGCTACTCGGTGTCATGTTCGAGATCCTATCCAGCTCCTCATCCAACGGCCGGTGCAGCTTCGACGCCGAGTGAATCTGCTCGTCGATATTCCGCGCCGCGCGGTTCACCTCGTGCCCGACAAACTCGTCCTTAAGAGCCTCCAGCTCGCTCGCGACCTTGCCCATGGTGGGGCGGGAGGCGGTGGGCATGGTGGTGCAGGAGATGGCGAGCTCTGCGAGGCGCCGCACAAGGGCGGTGGGGGCCTGGATGCGCGGATCGCAGATGTCTGCGATGCGGCTGCTCGCTAGCTTCTTGGCCGTCCACTCCTTGATGTTCACCTGCTGCCCGCCCTCCAGCATGAACACTGCGTGCCGGTTGGTTAGTAGCTCCAGGGCCAGCACACCGAAACTGGTGTGGGAGGGGAGAGGAGAGGAGGGAGGGATGTGCGTGATGTGTGAATGGGTGTGGGACAAGGTGTAGTTGTGGGGGTGTGAGAGAGGGAGAGGGTTGGACAGATGGATTCGTTTAGCTGACGAAGGAAGAATGACGGCCGAGGGATTCAGCAGCACAGAGGAACCGTATTGTGAGTACTCAGTTGGGAAGCAGAACATATACTAGAACCACAAGAAGAGGACATGCAGAAAGCAGCCGCAGCAGAGGGGGCTGACGCGCGGTCAGCACTTGCCTGTGCACATCAGCGGTGGTGGGAGCCTTCTGAGACTGAGAGTATGCGGGGTCCACATAACCCGGCGTGCCCAGCACTCGTGTAGAGTGCAGCTGTGTGCCCTCGCCCATCCTCACCAGCCCAAAGTCTGCTATCTTCGACTGCCAGCGGTGGGCATTGAAACACGGAGAACAAAGAAAAATAGACACGGGATTGACGAGAGGAGTGGGAGGGATGATGAGTCAGTACAAGAGTATGAGATTGCAACACGGGGTGAAGGGGAGAGAGAACACATTGGAGGCTGCACACACACCAACGTTTTTTTAGGCGAGTCAAGAGTTGCGGCTCACTTACTGTCGTCCTGTAGGGGCTGGCTTGTGAGTGCGTTTCAATCTCACATGCATGCCCGAGGCAGCACACTCACCTGCATGTTTGCATCAAGCAGGATGTTGGCGGGCTTGATGTCGCGATGCACGATGCCAAAGCTGTGCAGATACTCCAACCCACGAGCCACTCCGATAAGAATCTCCAACCGCTGCTTCAACGTCAATGGGTCCTCTGAACAATCGCAGGAGGAGATGGGGGTTCAGGGAGGTGGGGAGGGGAGAGAGGGGTTTGCTGTTTAGCTCCTACTTTGAGCTGTTTTGTCAGCGAACACTCACCAGCAGCATTTGTCAGCATCCACCACAACATACCTCCCCTTACCTCCCACCACCACAAAGATAAGATATCACTACCCTCACCAAACACCACCCTTCACCACACACCACCCTTCACCACACACCACCCTTCACCGCGTTCCTCACCAGCATTGAGCCTCTTGGCGAGGTCCCCGTTGACCATGAACTCGTAGATGACGATCTGCTCGATGTTCTCCGATGCCGCATCACCGTCGATGCAGAACCCCAGCAGCCGCACCAGGTGTGGGTGGTGCTTCGTTGCCATCTCGTTCACCTGTTGGGTGCAAGAGGGCAGCGTGCACAGGGCATAGACAGGGCACAAAGCACAGGGGGCATAGACAGGGCACAAAGCACAGGGGGCATAGACAGGGCACAAAGCACAGGGGGCATAGACAGGGCACAAAGCACAGGGGGCATAGACAGGGCACAAAGCACAGGGGGCATAGACAGGGCACAAAGCACAGGGGGCATAGACAGGGCACAAAGCACAGGACACAGGGCATAGACAGGGCACAAAGCACAGGACACAGGGCACAGGGCACGCACCATAGCACACACGGCACAACAAGGGACAAGTTTGAGCTAATTGTAGGTTGCAACAGCGCGGGACGAGAGAGTCCAAGAGAGGGGCACGAGCTTGTCTGACACACACGCACGCACGCACTCCCCACTGTCCCCACCTCCCGTCGGAAGTCGTTGGTGAGCACGCGGGCGCGCTTGACAGCCCAGGGAATGGCCGGGTTGTACGGGTCAACGCCGCGGTACACGTCTCCAAAGCCCCCGCTGCCAATCTTGTTCGCCGCTGCCCAGTCGGACGTGGCTCGAGTGACTTCTTCGAGAGAGTACTGCAGACACACCTGCGGCACCGCACTGCTGGGCGTGCGCATTGTTGATGCTGGTGTGGGGAGAAAAGGCGGATGTGGGATGTGAGATGTGGGATGGGGGATGGGGGATGTGGGGGGTTTAGATGGGGATAAGGGGGTGGGGGATGGGTGAAATTGGGACTGGGGATAGGGGGATGGGGGACGGGGGATGGGGAATGGCGGATGGGGATGGGGGGGATGGGAGATGGAGGATGGGATAGAAGGGAGAGGGTAACGCTTTAACCCTCTAGCACAATCACTCCTCCTTTGTCCGAAACAGAGGTTCTTATTACAGCCTCACCTGACTAGGCACTCACATCACACGTGCATAACTACGTTCCTCCAACCCCCTCACACACACACACACACACACACACACACACACACACACACACACACACACACATGCGCGCGCGCACACATCCTGAGGCCAGGCAGATAGACTCACACTCACCTCCACGTGACTTTTTGGTCCTAAAGAGGGCAAGGAGAACAAAGCCCAGGCAGCCACAGCCCAGCACTGCCACCGCTGCTGCCACCGATATTCCCACCACCGCTCCTGCTGACAGCCCCGCAGCAGCCTCCGGCGCAGGAGGTGGGGGCGGCGAGGGCGGAGGGGGCGCGGGGGGAGGAGACAGAGAGGGAGGGGGAGGAGAGGGAGGGGGAGGTGGAGGGGGAGGAGAGAGGGAAAGTGGAGGAGGAGGAGGCGGAGGAGAGGGTGCGATTGGGGGAGGTGGAGGGTGGATAGGTGGGGGAGGGTGTTTGGAGAGGCAGCCGGAGCAGAAGCCAACACACTGCTTGCAGAAGGTGCTGAGCGGGTTCTGCTGCGTGGCACAGTCGTTCTGTGGGTAGCTGGGACACTTTATCAGCGCCGTGTCGTACGTGCTGGTGCGGCGTGGTGTGACATGTGTGCGGCGTGTGTGTGTGCATGCACCATGACCGGAGGAGGTGGCGTGGTGGTGAGGTGACGAGATGGCAAGGCACATGGGATGAAAGAAAAAGGGAAGGGGGAGAAAGGGGGGGGGGGGGGGGGGGGGGGGGGGGGGGGGGGGGGGGCATCGTCTAGGAGGGGAGGAAGTGAGGAAGGGAGGAAGTGACGGAGAGGGATATGAAAGGAAGGAGGGAGAAAGGGACACATAGGCTGAGAACGTATGGGAGAGAATGACGCAGGTGATGCCAATTTGTGCAAACACGTGTCACGCATCAGTGAGGTTCACTTGATATTTAGAATCATAAGCAGTGTGAAGTGAACCATACCACAGTGCCGCAGCAAAGCAACGGCGGGACGTAAAGGATGGTGCAGGGAGGGTGAGGGAAGGGCGAAGGCGGCACGCACAGGTTGCTGAGGGCGGTGAGAGCGCCCAGGCCGGGGGGGAGAATTCCCGTGATGCTGTTGCTTGAGATGTCTCTGGGGCAGCGGGAAAGAGGGACATGGGTATGCAGGGGGGGTGGCAGCACAAGGGCAAAGGGGGACAGGGGCGCAGGGGGACAGAGGAGCAGGGGGGCAGGAGCACAGGGGCACAGGGGCACAGGGGCACAGAGGGGCAGGGGGGCAGGGGGGCAGGGGCACAGGGGCACAGAGGGGCAGGGGGGCAGGGGGGCAGGGGCACAGAGGGGCAGGGGCACAGAGGGGCAGGGGCACAGGGGCACAGAGGGGCAGGGGCACAGAGGGGCAGGGGCACAGGGGGGCAGGGGCACAGGGGCACAGAGGGGCAGGGGCACAGAGGGGCAGGGGCACAGGGGGGCAGGGGCACAGGGGCACAGAGGGGCAGGGGCACAGGGGGGCAGGGGGGCAGGGGCACAGAGGGGCAGGGGCACAGGGGCACAGAGGGGCAGGGGCACAGGGGGGCAGGGGGGCAGGGGCACAGAGGGGCCCAGGGGGACAGGGGCAGCGTATGGGCGGAGGTGGCGAGAAGAGGCGATGGAAAGAAAAGAAGGAAGAAGGGGTGGGGGAGGGGAGGTGCGCAGAAAAGAAGGTAAGGGAGGGCAAGGAGGAGTGGCGGAGTGCATCAGGCGGCGTGCATGCATGCATGCATGCGTGCATTATCAGTTGCATACATACATGGTGTTGAGACTGTTGAGCTGGCTAAGGGAGTCCGGAACGCTGCTTGAGAGCTTGTTTTCCGCCACCACTCTGAGAGAGAGATATGCACATACACATGCACATGCACACGCACATGCACATGCACATGCACCAGACGAGCAGGAGCCGCAGGCAGAGAGCAAAGCAGACAGGGCAGGCAAGACAACAGGGGAGAGAGGGGGTAATAGGTGGGTGGGGAGGATCAAGGGGCAAAGTGGGAAGGAGGGAGATGGAGATTGAGTTAGCGGGGTAGAGACAGGTGGGTGGAGTGAAGGGAACAGACAATCTTCTACTATTAGATTACTGTGTAAGGGTTAGCAAGATGGGCAAGTATGTGTGAGGAACAACGCAAGGATAGAGAGAGAGACAAACAAGGTGTTGGTCAGGAATAATGCAACAGGTGAAAAAGAGAAAAGGTACAAGTTAGAGGTAATGCAAGAGGGGAAAGGAGCGAATGCGAGGCATCAAAGGACAGGACCGGGATGGCAAGATTGCTATGTGCAGAGGTGCTTTCAAAGGCCAATATTCTCAATTTTCGAAGAAACTGTTTTGAGGTTGCTAGCACAGAGAAAAACAGGTCAGATCAGCATAAGAGCATCATGAAAGACAGTGATGGGAGCAAGGATGGGGGAATTGATGGGAGTCGGGATAGGGCATTGATGGGAGCCGGGATGGGGGCATTTATGGCAGCAGGGATGGGGACATCGATGGGAGCAGGGATGGGCGAAGCAAGGGAGGCGAGAGTGGAGTGGAAGAGGCCGGGCACTGACAGACTAGTGAGAGAGTCGCTGATGTTATTCGGAATGGGGCCGACCAGCTTGTTGAAGCTCAGGTCCCTGCAGAAAAGCGGCGGAAGAAGGGGGAGATACGGGGAGCAGGGGGATAGGGCAGAGGGGTTTTACTTTTGGGAATTCTCAAAAGTAAAGACCAGCTTGTTCAAGCTCAGGTCCCTGCAGAAAAGCGGTGGAAAAAGGGGGAGATAGGGGGAGCAGGGGGATAGGGCAGGACGGCAGAAGAGTGGAAGGAGGGAGTTGAAGAGGCGGAAATGGCGTGGGGGGAGAAGGTATGGAAAAAAGATGCAAAGAAGGGCGGCTGTTGTTGTGGTGGGGATGTCGTGGTGGTGTATGTGGGAGGGGTGTGGTGTGGGGACGAGAAGAGGGGTTGACTCCAGGTGCAGTGCAGGCTTGCAGCACGACAGTAGTAGGGTGAAGACACGAGAGTGGGAGAGAGGAGAGGCGAGGCGATGGGAGAGTGTGCGCTGACAGGGATTTCAAGAATCTGAGCTTCGTGATGCTTGCCGGAATGCCTCCTGTGAGACTGTTGCCGTGAAGATCTCTGCTCGTGCACGGATGGACGGAAGGAAGGGGAAGGGTGGATTTCTGGTCTACTCAAGAGTCGCCCTCATCATTTACATGTGTGTCGAGGTCATTCAGGGAGAAAAAATACTGGATGGAAGAAGGCATGCATGCGTGAGTGCGTGCATGCATGTGTGTGTATGCATGTGTTGCCATGTGCACTCTCATATGAGATAATGAGACGGGAGACAGGAGATGAGAGGAAGGCGAGGAGGGTAAGGAGGAGAGTAACTGACAGAGTGACGAGGGCTCCAATGTCCCCCAGGCTGGCAGGGATTGGCCCTGTGAGATGGTTGCTGTGTGCATCCCTGGCGATGGTGACATTCAGGAGGAAAAGCGAGGCAAGACGGCAGCAGAGCAGATTGGGTGAGGTGATTCATTACACAGCGCAGCTCAGATACGCGTCGCAGAGCAGTTGAATTAGTAAGATGGGTAAAAGGAGAGCGTGTGGACAAATATAAGAGATGGTGAGGCCTATTGCATGGTGGGACACGGTGGGGCACGGTGGGGCACGTTGGGGCACAATGGGGCACGGTGAGGTGAGCCATGTCAAGATGAGAGATGACAAGGGACAAGGCAGAAGCCTAAACCGTTGCTTGGGCTACAGATTGCACAGCCCAAGCACACCCCAAGGAGGTCGGCCGACAAACCATTCTCAATGCTCACGAGATGCCCATGCTGGCTCGCAATCAATATGAAGCTAGCAACAACGCTTGTGATAAGACCCGGCGCGGCAAGTAATCGTATGGAGGATGGTGCATGACACTTGGAGCATGGCGCATGGTGCTTGGAGCATGGTGCATGGTGCTTGGAGCATGGCGCATGGTGCTTGGAGCATGGCGCATGGTGCTTGGAGCATGGCGCATGGTGCTTGGAGCATGGCGCATGGTGCTTGGAGCATGGCGCATGGTGCTTGGAGCATGGCGCATGGTGCTTGGAGCATGGCGCATGGTGCACGGTGCAGTGCAGCAAAGGCAGAGTGCGGAATGGAAGAATGCTCACAGAGTAATGAGAGAGGAGAGGTACCCCAACGCAGGAGGGATACCACCCCCAATGCTGTTGCTGAATAGATAGCTGCACCCACAGAGTCATTGAGGTTCGACAAGGGGCGACGAAGGGAGACGAGTGGGATGGGGAACAGGGATGGGGGGAGGGTGGGGGAGGATGGGGGAGGAAGGTTCGCACTGAAATTTGGGGGTTGGAGGTGAGAGTAGATGGGAGGTTGTTGGTGCAGAGAGGATGGTATATAAGGGTGATGAGGAGGAGGAAAAGGGCAAGGAGTGGGAAGAAACAAGCAGCAGTCACTCCACACATCAGGGATGCAACTGATTTGCCTCATAATAAGAGACGTCACACAAGTACGGTCACGACTCACTAGTGGTGGCATGGGTGGGGGCACGAGTGGGGGCGGGAGGGAGGGGTACGTTTGGTCTGGAGAGGGGAAAAGATGTGCGACGAATGGAAGAAACGCAGGGTGGCTGAGAGCTCACAGTCCTGTGAGCTCCGTGAGCAGGCTAAGGGTGGGAGGCAACCCGCCTGTGAGCCTGTTCATCGACACGTTCCTGGCGTCCGAAAGGAGGGTTTCGGGTTTAGAGGCGGACGGGGGAGGGGGGAGAGGGCGGGGGGAGGGATAAGTTCAGTCTGTCGAGAGGAGAATGAGTGCCTGGCCTGCATGTGGTTGTTGCAGAGGTGCTACTGAGGAATGGAATGCACAACCCGCCAACTAAATACGAACACAAGTGGAGCAAGAACCTGTGTGGAGATTCAAACTTGTGTACATGAATGTGTACGTAGGTAAATGATCAATGGCGCCGTGGTTCCATGGATGGACGGACGGACGGACGGACGCATGAATGGATGGATGCATACGCACGTTCATGCTGTGGCACAAATACAGCGAGGGATTTGGTGACAGTTGAGGAGAGGGTGGGACTGACAGGCGCTGGAGACGTTGCAGCTGGCCAATGCCCGCAGGGATAGGGCCTAACAGCTGGTTGCTCTGCAGCCATCTGTTGAGCAGCGTGGGAGGGAAGCGTAGTAATGGCCCGCAATGTATGAGAAGCACAATGGGACTTGCTGGGATGACGGACGGAGTGGATGAGGGTTATGGGGTGAGGGGTTACCTAACAGAGAATAGGTCCATTGCTTGGTGAGTTTGCATGGGAAGAGAGTAGCAGGAAGGGAGAGAGAGCAAGAGCACGGAGTTGAGGGGGGCGTGGTTGCACAGAAAGGCGAGTAAGAAAAGCGTTCATCGCACATGATATGGTTGCGGTGCGGGCCACAACACACAAGGTAGCACGGCATAGGACAGGGAAGTAGTGATGGTACAAGGACAAAAACGAATGCCTGCGTTCATCTGTTTCCATGAGTATGACTCGATGCAAATGTTCCCACAACGCAACGCAACGCAACGCAACGCAAGCATGCATGCATACAGGATCTGGAGGTTCTCGAGGCTGGACACACTTAGAGGAATACTGCCCGTCAGTTTGTTCTTCGCAAGGTTCCTGTGTCGTGTTGTGAGAGATGGAGAAGCAAGCAAGGGAGCAGATGCATTGCTGCCGAACTCCCGCATCATACAAGGCATCCTGCTTATAGAAACCACACGGATTGGAGATGAGCACTGGTTGGATTGGAAAATATACAGCAGGGAGAGGTGACAGGTGACAGCAGAGAGGACTGACAGTAGAGAGAGGGAGTGGAGGTTCCCGATAGTCCATGGAATGGCACCCCTTAGCTGGTTGCCTCCCAGATCACTGTTGCAAGAGAGCAAGAGGAGGGGTGGAGCAGGTACGACGGTTAGAGAGGGTGCAGAACGGTGGAGGAACAGAGGAGGGAGAGAGGAGAGGAGTGCAACAGTGGGTAGGGCAGGGCACTGGAGGACTGGGTGGAAAAGAAAGCAACAAGCAAGGGAAGAAGGGAGCAGCAGCTGCATGCACATATGCCCTTTGAAATGCTAAGTATAGCAAGGGAAGTGCACTGCACGGTACGGGCCTGGATGGATGGACGGACGGACAGACGGACGGGCGGGCGGGCGCGCGGGCGGGGGGGCCGGACGGACGGACGGACGGACGGATGGAAGTATGGAATGTTGGACGCTTACAGCTCTTCTAAGCTCTCAAGGCTGACAGTGGAGGTGGGAATACCTCCCGTTAGATTATTCGTCCCAAGATTTCTGGCATGAAAGAGAAAAAAGGAGAAGGGCGGGGAAGGGGGGGAGGGGGGCGAGAGGGGAGAGGAGGGGGGCGGGGTGGGGTTGAGGGGGGGACAGTGTGTGCAATGTGTGCGTGCTCATAACAAACCCATAAAAACATGCAACAGTACTCAAGTACCCATTCTTCCCACTTCCTCTCCCCCTTCTCCCCCCCCTCCACACACGCACAGAGTAGGAGAAGCGGCTGGCAGCAAGGAGATAACATGACAAGCACAGAAAATTTACGGCTCATAGCCATAACATTCTCATCCATGAGTACATGCCAGTGCGAGCCATCTTCTTCCACACACAGACCAGCAGCCCATCCTATCACATCCCATCCCATCCCATCCCATCCCATCCCATCCCATCCCATCCCATCCCATCCCATCCCATCCCAACCCATCCCACTCCATCCCATCCCATCCCATCCCATCCATGAAGCAGCCCTTGCTTGCCGAGCCACACCAGCAAGATGACAGCACAAAGGAGCATACAGAGAAATGAGACCCGATAGCTGGCCTATCTGCCGGGGGACGCCTCCTGTTAAATGGTTCTTGGATAGGTCTCTGGTGCACGTGGCGCATGCGCGAGGGAAGGAGCACGGGAGGCAGGGGGGCAGGTAGGGGTGGGAAAGTAAGGGAGGAGGGAGGATGTAGAAAGATCGATACAGAACAAAGCGGGGGAACGAGGCCGAAGAGTTGGAGAAAGACAGGGCGGCACGGGGAGAGGGGTGAATGTGGGGATAGTGGCAGAGGGCAGGCAGATTAAACAGCACACGAAGAGAGTTGGGCGAATAAAACTCTCAGCCTGAAAGAGAAGTGTAGAGAGCAGAAAATAACTGCAAGGGGGAGTGAAGGTCAGAAGGGTCATTGTGTTGTGTTTATGCGGTTCAATCGTACACGGAAGGAGTAAAGTCCCTTTGGACCGTGAGAAGATACGACATGAGGAGAGGGGCATGCGGTGTGCGTGTGTGTCGTGCAGCGTGTGAGGTTGGTTGGTGGAAAGGCGAAGCGAGACGTACAGGTACATTAAGCCAGTGAGGCGGGTTATGGTGGGTGGTATGGACCCTGTGAAGTTGTTGTCGTTCAGCTGGCTGTACAAACGCACACGCAAAGAAACAACAAACAGTCAGTCAAAGAGACGAGAGAGAGAGAGAGAGAGAGAGAGAGAGAGAGAGAGAGAGAGAGAGAGAGAGAGAGAGAGAGAGAGAGTGAGAGAGAGAGAGTGGGTAGGCGTGACGGAACGCGTGGGTAGGCTTCCACGCCATGGCGGTCGAGACATACGGCTACCCCTCCCCGGGAGTACACGACTTCCTCCGCAGCTGTGCCGAGCTCGCGGGCAAGCGGCGGTTCAACGCAGCGCCAAAATCGAGGGAGGTGGCCAGGCTGCTCACGGAATACCGGCAGCGCTGGAGCGTCACACTCCAGCGCGCCCAGGCCAATGCCCTCCGCGACAAGACCCACGAGGCCTTCGCCGCGGACGAGCTCGGCCTGCAGGGACCGTTTGGCTGCCTAGGGGAGGAGCAGCTGTACCAACTGCTGGAAGACCCTACCGGCCAATAGGGTCGTGGGGAGAAGGGGCAGGCGATGGAGAAGTTGTAGTACTTACCTGTTTGTTGCTTGTTGAGTCTTGTTTGTTTGTTTAGATTAGCTTACGCTTAGTACCTCTGTGTGTTCTGCCTTGCTGATTAATACGAAGGACCATTCGAGAGAGAGAGAGAGAGAGAGAGAGAGAGAGAGAGAGAGAGAGAGAGAGAGAGAGAGAGAGAGAGAGAGAGAGAGAGAGAGAGAGAGGAGAGATGAGATGCGATTGATTTAAAAAGGCACTGTGATGTGATGTGCAACTAACGCATGTGGCACCAGACTTCCCCACAGGAGCAGCACGTGCCAGAGGGGAAAAGAAAGAGCTGGGGTGGAGCAATGGCACTCATAAACAACACCTGATGCTTCTCAATCAAATCAAGGATTAAAAAAAAAAACAAAAAAACTAAGCCATGGGAGGAGGACAGCACACGTACAGGGAGTTCAGTTGTACAAGAAGGCCTATGGTGGTGGGGATGATGCCTGTGAGGTTCGCACCAGTGAGAGTGCTGATGGGGCCACAGGGGGAAGGGGAGAAGGAGGGCAGGCAGTAGGAAGGTTCCAACGGACATAGCAGTGAGATGGAGAGTGGCATGCATAGAGAGAGGCGATGGCAGTTGGAATGAGATGGGAGGCTGCCTGCAGCGAGTATGAGACTGACGGACTAGAACAAAAGAAGAGAGGTTGCGTGCAAGGAGCGACAGATTAGATTTGAAAGTGGCATGATGGGATGGGTGGTGTGGACAAAATATATACAAACAAGACAAGAAAATCGAAGGGCGTGTGTAGTCTGTCTGTATGCATAGCCCCTCTATAGAAACAGCCTCAGTCACAAAGTACAACAATTGTTGTGTGCAGACAGGCAGACAGCGACGATGCAAATTACGAAAATGGATGATGATGGATGTCGATGGATGATGATGGATGATGGATGATGGTGGATGATGGATGATGATGGATGATGATGGATGATGGTGGATGATGATGGATGATGATGGATGATGATGGATGATGGATGATGGATGATGGATGATGATGGATGATGACGGATGATGATGGATGATGATGGATGATGATGGATGATGGATGACGATGGATGATGGATGGATGATGCGGCATTCCAGTGGCAGTGCCACGCATTGTACTCACAGGTCGTTCATCTGAACGAGTCTCCCAATGGACGCTGGCAGAGGGCCGCCAAGGAAGTATCCTTCCGGAAATATCCTGTGCGCCCACACAACACACACCCACAAACAACAGTGCATTAAGACTCGGACACAACAAGCAGAGGACTATTACAAGAGAACAATCATGCGTATGGCATGGGGCGAGGGAGGGAATGCAACGGGGCGGATTACGGGAGGAGGGAAGGACGAGAAGTGAAAGATAGAGTGAATGGGGTTGAGGGAAAGCGACGGTGGGCGGAGAGCGAGCGAAAACAGGTTGGCGATGGAGAAGAGGATGGGAGGACAGAAGAAGGAATAACACGCTATATGACAGTAACCATCCAGCCAGACCGTTTTCCCCGTGCTAATCCATTCAACTCAAAACCCCTGCCATGGACGCTCACATGGATGTGACCATGCCGTTGTCGTCGCACGTGAGGTACAAAGCGTGGTTGCAGTCCGAGCCAGCAGCCCAGCCGGTGAAACTCTGCTTCCACACCTTCTGGCACTCCTGCAGCGTCGGCACTGCATCATGCACGGCACGGTACAGCGAGCGGGGACCGTAGAAAGGCAAACTCGAACCTGACAACATAGGCATTCCTGTGGCCAGCCCAGGCCTGCTTTGTGTCTGACTGATTCCAGGGGCAGTTCGGGCGTGTTATGTGTGTCCACTAGTGGCCTTTTGGGTCCAGAGGTTCTTAGTGGCTTATAAGCACTCACGAATGGAGCTGAATGTATGCAATTTTTGTTGTGAAAAAAAACCACCAACGGTCTCCATTGTTTCCCCCCCCTCCCCCCCCCAACATCCCGATCCCCTTCCCATTTCCCCCACCACTTTCCCCCTTCCCCATTCCGCTGTCTTTTCGTTTTTCCTCACACCGCCGTTGACTGTTAGTTGCTCACATTGGGAGGGAGCCCAGGTCGTGGCGGAAACCATGAGGAGCGGGGAAACGTGAGCCGAGAGGAGCGAGCGGAGCAGGCATGCGCGCAACAACGCGCACGCTGCAGCTGCGACGACGGCGGGGAGACGCGGGTAACCGCGGAAAAACCGCATCGCGTCGAGCTGATGAGTCGCGGGGATACTTTTAGCGGGGATGTCTGAACAAGCGCGAAATGGCGGCGGCTGAAATTACTTTCTGGATAAGAAACATATCCGAACGTACGAAAGGAGCAACGCGGATGGGAACTGTGATGGAAACTCTTTTCGTATTCTTGAGACGTTTCTTGAGCTAAACCGGGAAGCTTTGGCAGATAAATTGAGGAGGAGAGTCGGCTATTTTGCAGTGTGGTCCTAATGTTCTTGTGAGAACGATTGTGTCAATACATGAAACGCGGTGCGCGGACATGGCTTAATGGGTGGACGTGAAGGCGCGGCGCGGGAGGCAGTGCGAAAAGCTGGACCATGATAGTCGCATTTTTAATACCAAGTCGAAAAGGTTTGCGCGTGGTAGGCAGGACGGCAGGAATATCGAGAAAGGGACGAGGGAGGTAAGTAGACCAAGATCGTCGTGTTCAGTAAACGGAGGTATCAATAGGCAGACTCAATAGGTATCAATAAGTCGCCTATTTAATTCAAACGTGCGAGACTCGACCTGTTACACTCCGAGTGCGACCCCAGCCTGATTCCACTAGAGAACAGGGCCGATATGCAGCAGCGAGTCGCTCGCTGGTAGCTGGTATAGTATTACTTCAAGAGGTGGTCATAAGGAGGGTCAATGGATAATGTCGCGCTTTCAGCCACATTGGCTGTAAACAACCACTGCCAGCACGGCGGTGTTATGAAAGCTACTTGGGTGGGGAAAGGAAGTTTCCGTCCATACATTCTCTCTCCTCGCTACACTCCAATCTTATCTTATCGAATCCCATTCCATCTCATCCCAACCCCGACTTTTCCAAATCAACACCTTCTGCGCTGTTGCTGTCTTGCGCAAGGGAAGGAGAGTCGTCTTTCAGAAACATGCACCGATTTTGCCAAGACGGGGGACAAGTGGTGCCGCGCTCTGGCTTGGCGGGGGGACAAAGTTCGGGCCCGCGCTCGGGGGTGCCCAGCAAGTGCGCCTCTGTCTGATCAAATCAGTGTGGCGGTGGGAAGAAGCTCCAGGCTTTAACCACTTTGAAACGCAGAAAACCAGACAAAACCGCGCACTTGTACAGCTGTAATTCGAATGAGCACATTTTCCGCCCCGGTGCAGACGACCCCCATGGCCATTGAGTGGGGGGCACTGCCTCGCAAGGCAAGGCAAGCAATCCCTAGCCAGCAAATTGGTTGGAAATCGGAGACGGGGGTGAGGGGTCGGCAATATTACCTGATTATACACCTTATGGCGAATACAGTACACATTGCGTGGTTTGTTTTGCTAAAAAACATGGTGACTGAAAATCTGCCAGCAGAAAATTCGTGCATTTGTGGCTGGTATTTGTCGCTCCGGCAGCAAGCTAGTTCAAGAGACACAGAGCAGATACCAGCATGACCAACTAATTAATGAGCAGTGCTCTTGTGAGTGCCAATGCTGAGCTTGGGACGGTGTGGGGTGGCATGGACACACCACATCTGCCCTGGGCAATCATATCCATCTACAGAATTCACTTCCAACACAATGGAACCGTTAGAAAGAATGACAATTCATGAAGCTTGGCTCACCTCCCTCGCCCTGCACTGTCCAACCAGCATCCAGTTGCTGCAGTGTGCTGTGCAACAACTAATGCTAAGAATAAGCTGGAGCATTGATCAGCCCATCCAGGGCTATCTCCCCAGCCTGGCAAATCAATCCACCACTGCCGTAATTATTCCTCGACAGTAAGGTGGTGGCACCCTCAGACTTTCCCCCTCAGTCATGCTCACTGTCGCCCACTTTGTTGCCGGTACCGGTAGTTGATTATGTCTGCAAGCAGCATCATAAACATCACTTCATAATACCACCTGCAACACCGGCGGCCGCAGCAGCAGGCGCAGCAGCCATGGCTTCAGCCTTAGCAGCAGCCTCAGCCGCTTCCTTAGCAAGCCTCACCCTCCACTTGTTCTGCTGGAAAACCCTCCAGAACCCGCCTGCCTCGTTCCGTTCAATGCACTCAAACTCAAACGACCCCTTGGTGCGGCGAGACGACACCGCCAGCCACTTGGACTCCTCCGTTGGATGCAGCTCCACTGCCTCCAACACAGGCACCTCTCCTTTTCGCCCACGGCTGTTCGCCCCCCCATTGCCGTCCCCCACACGGCCCTCGGCGACGAGTCTGATGCTCCTGCCGTTGACAGCATCGCAGACAATACCGATGGGTGCTCGCAAGTCGGGGTCGTACTGAAGGATCTGATTCGCGTGAACTGCCAGCACTGTCTCGCCCATCTGCAGCCACCGCACTGTACCGCTCCCACTCATGCTGCTGCTCACATTACTGCTCCTGCTGATGCTTGTATTTGTGTTGCGGCGCTTGGTAGGAGAACCCAGACCCACGCCTGCTGCTGCTTCTCCTGCCGCTGCTGTACTAGCAACATCTGCTGCATCTTCTCCTGCTGCTGCTGCTCCGTTCGCCCGGCCCCATCTCCCCACGCTCCCTCTGGCGAACGGCGGGAACTGGTCCTGGTCTCTTGCTGCCAGATCAGCCGGCATAATCGGGCTGAACGCTCCGCCTGCAGCGCACGCGCTCATGCCAGACAGTGTGGAGCACCACAGGCGCTGCGGGGGGATGCCGCGCGCCTCGTTCTCGTACACGTGGCGCACGTCCGTGCGCACCTCCCCCGCGGAGTGGTCCAGCGTCAGCAGGTGGTAACCCGATTTCGTCGCGCGCAGCACGCGCGAGTGCCGCCGCCCGTCGCGGTGACAGCCGCCCATGACGCCGGTTTGGACGAACAGGCAGGACGCGACGCGCGAAAGGGAGCCCTCGTAGTCGTGAGAGAGGTGGAAATGGCCCGAGAACCACAGCTTAATGCAGGAATGGGAGCGTACTAACTCCAGGAACTTGCGTGACGTGGCGGGACACGAGTGGTTGAGCCATGCGCAGCGATTGCGCACGTGCACTTCCTGCAGGCTTGTCAGCCCGCATCCCATGGGCGGCGCGTGCGTGAACACGAATACGGGCCGGCCTTTCCCTTCCGCCTCCACTGCCGCCAATTGCGCCGTCATCCACGCGACCTGCTCCTCATCTATAAACACCTCGTGGCAGCTATCCGGCGCGTCCCTAAACCGCACGGTCGACAGCCCTAAGCACACGCCCGCGTCGCCCAGATCGCGCCGCCAGTAATGCTCCTGCCCGAACGCGTCCTTCCACGCGAGCAGATTCCGCTCGTCGGATTCGAACTCGGAACCTTCCAGGTCGTGGTTTCCAGTGACGGACAAGCGCGGGAGGCGGAAGGAGTCGAGGAAAGAGACGGCGGAGCGGAAGCACTCCGCGGATCCGGGCTTGTTGCTGTACCCGCCCACGTCCCCCAGTTGAATCAGTAGCGCCGGCGGTACCGCTGCTGGAGCGTCGCTCTCAAGCGAGCTCTTGCCGTTGCTGTCACTACTGCCGTTTGCGCTTCCCCCGTCGGTAACGCTGCTGGTGGTTTCGCTCCTGGCGGCGGTTCTGCCGTTTTCTGCGCTATTCGAGGCGTCCGTGGCGAGGTTTTCCTGATCGCCAGCGAGCAGCCGTACGATCTGATCGCGCGCCTCGTGGAACAGGGTCATCTGGCCCGGCTCCAAATGTAGATCGCCCATCACTACGATCGTCACCGCGTCGTCGCCAACGCCGCCGCCGCCGCCGCCAGGCGACGCCATTGGTTGGCCGGCTGTTGCGGGCGACGCGTTAGCAGCGCCTGGCCACCAGCGAGAGGAGAGGCCCATTGAGAGTCCCGCAGGCGAGTCCGCGGCTGTGTCGGCCGAGATTTCGCCGTGACTTGCGGCCGTGACGCTGGCTGATGCATGCAAAGCTCCGTCGGCGGCAACAAACTGGCCCCCGATTCCCATGTCGCCTCCCGGCTTTCGCGGTCTGATGCTGCCACTAGCCGTGTCGAAAGACGCAACGGGTGTGCCAGTTACGGAATTCGCGACGGATAAGCAGCGGCGACGAGCGAACGCGCGTGGCCGTGGAAAAGGCACACTGAGCGGGCGGATCGCGGGACGAAACCCAGAAGGTGACGGCAGCGGTACACCCAGGCGAGTACGCGGGTAAACCGCTGCAGCAGACGTCGCAGCTGCTATAACCATGGCTTTGAATGGACGACGATGAGTGCTTAGACCGCGCAAGAGAAGAGTGGCAGTTGAGGCAGAAAGGAGCAGCTTTTCCAGGACGGTGGGAAGAAGGCAAGGGACCACCGACTCCACTCCCCCGCCTGCTGCTTTGTGTGGCTGGCGCGAGCCGAGAGGAATAGAAGCGCGGCTGCACTTCGTACGCGTTCCAGGTCCACATAGAGAGTATTTTGCTCCACCGTGGTCTCATAACATAATGCGAATACCGCTCGATCTTTCTAAATTTTTTTTACAAGGAAAGTGACGAGACAAAATAGCTAGAAATCAAGGAGAGAGGAGTTGGAGAAATAAAGGAAAAAACACATAACAACCCTCCTCAAGGTACCCTGCGTTCACGCCCAATCAAGACACCCCAATTAAGACACCCCCTTAAGATACCCCATCCCGCATCCCATCCCCCTCCACCCCCCCCCCCTCCCCCCTCCCCCAACGCAATCACAACTGTGCATCCACCATATACGGGGCCTCAACCCAGAGAGCCCCACCTTCCACGTCGACGTCGTCCCTATCCTGGTCCACCAAATCGACGTTAATCCCCCCCAAGGAAGACGCCGCTCGAAGTAGGATAACACGGGCTTGCGCACGTTGCAACACTACCCCGATAAGCGCCTTCAGGGACCCTAAAAGATAAGTCGAAAATACTGTGTCGTCCTCCCGGCAAGCCCCCCGCGACACAGCTAGCCCCACGTGAGCATCCCCCTGCTGACGAAGCCACCGCTGAAAACGACCACCGAGACATCCCCACGTCTCTACTATCAGAGGGGTGAACTGCACGCCCCGGTTGCGCGCGAGCAGAGGCGCATAATCGATCGTTTTGCGACACTCCCACTCTTTT